TTCTCCAATGACCAACAATCTAAGGGGGCATTTCTACCAATATAAGAGGGTAGTCTAATGACCATCTTACTGTTATGATATGATTATATAGTTTTATATATTAACGTGCTAAAAATTCTTCTTTTTTTCAAACACATAAAAAGCAATGGGGTTGATTTACTAAAGGCAAATAGGCTGTTTATTTTGCAAGGAAAGTTGCCCATTACAAGGGAATTTTCCTCAGAGCTTAGTGACTGTGGTGAAATTTCAGTTTGCAAAGAATACCCAATCATGTGTAAGGAAAATAAAAAAACAACATTTTGGCTTGTACATGATTGAATGATGGAAGCCAGCAGAGCATTCAAGGTGTGCTGGAAAATTTGCTTGCAAATGCAACTTCTTTTGTAAAGCGAACAGCCTATTTGCCTTTAGGAAATCAACTCTGATGAATTTAAAGCTAACACAAAATATTAAAATGTAATAATATATGCTTAGTATCTAGCACGGTAAAGGGAATTATTCCTTGTTTAATGTTGGGTCACTTTTGCTAGGGGTAGGAGACAAGTTTTTAGCCATACGAACTGAAGTCTGAAGTATCTCATGTAGCTTTTGGAGTTTTAGACTTCAGGCTACAGGAGTCTGAGCACTCATATGTGTGCATTCACCAATGTAATACAGTTGTGTTCAAAATAATAGCAGTCAGACATCACTAACCTGATCAATCACTGTTTTTGGTAGAAATAATATTTCTACATGGCAAATAATTTACTAGCAGGTGTAGTAGAGTAATAGAAATCCAACAGACCCAACAGGCATGACATGCATGCTGCTGATTCTGTGTAATTGAATCACTAATTGAAAGGGGCATGTTCAAAATAATAGCAGTGTGGAGTTCTATTAGTGAGGTCATTCATTCTTTGAAAAACAGGTGACAATTATTGCCCTTATTTAAGGAAGGAAGGCAGCAAATGTTGTACATGCTGGTTACAGTGCATTTCTCTCTGAAATTCTGAGGAAAATGGGTTGTTCCAGACATTGTTCAGAACAGCGTACCTTGATTAAAAAGTTGATTGGAGAGGGGAAAACATATAGAGAAGTGCAGAAAATGATAGGCTGCTCAGCTAAAATGATCGCAAATGCTTTAAAATGGCAACCAAAACCTGAAAGATGTGGAAGAAAGCGAAAAACTACCATTCTAATGGATAGAAGAATAGCCAAAATGGCAAGGACTCAGACAACAATCAGCTCCAGGAATATCAAAGAAGGTGTAAAGTTCCCTGTGAGTACTGTTACAATTAGAAGACGCCTATGTGAAGCCAAGCTATCTGCAAGAAGCCCCCACAAAGTCCCACTGTTGAAAAAAAATACATGTCCTGAAGAGGTTACAATTTGCCAAAGAGCACATTGACTGGCCTAAAGACAAATGGGCAACATTTTGTGGACTGATGAAAGTAAGATTGTTCTTTTTAGGTCTAGTGGTCGGAGACAGTTTGTCAGACGACCCCCAAACACTGAATTCAAGCCACAGTACACTGTGAAGACAGTGAAGCATGGTTGCGCAAGCATCATGATATGGGGATGTTTCTCATACTACGGTTTTGGGCCTATTTATCGCATACCAGGGATCATGGATCAGTTTGAATACATCAGAATACTTGAAGAGGTCATGCTGCCTTATGCTGAAGAGGAAATGCCCTTGAAATGGGTGTTCCAACAAGACAACGACCCCAAACACACCAGTAAACGTGCAACATCTTGGTTCCAGACCAACAAGATTGACGTTATGGAGTGGCCAGCCCAATCCCCGGATCTTAATCCAAAAGAAAAAACTTGTGGGGTGACATCAAAAATGCAGTTTCTGAGGCAAAACCAAGAAATAGAGAAGAACTGTGGAATGTAGTCCAATCATCCTGGGCTGGAATACCTGTTCACAGGTGCCAGAAGTTGGTTGACTCCATGCAACACAGATGAACAGCAGTTCTCAGAAACAGTGCTTATACAACTAAATATTAATTAAGTGATTTAAAGGAAAGCAAAATCTTCAAACATTTTTCAGTTTATATAGTGAATGTTTGAGTTTGTAAAGAAGAATACAAAACTGCTATTTTTTTGAACAGTCTAATATTCACTTTTCTTCAATTTTTTTTAGAGGAACAACACAAATTTGATATATTTTTTCTTCATGTTTTGATTTGGAATAGAATGTGTCGTGTTCCCAATGCTTTTGTGTGTATGGAAAGAAAAGCTATTAGAAGGATTTTGAGTTTTATTCACTTTTTTTCAACACACTGCTATTAATTTGAACACAACTGTACATGGGAATTTGGAAATTGAGCAATTTTTTTTTTTGAGCTTCAAGCCAGAAATTGACCAGCTATGAATGCGGACTGAGAGAATCCTAGAGCCAGGGGCAGTGGTAGATTACTTTGACCCTAGGCAAGTCCAGCTACTTGCACCTGCCCCCCCCCCCCACCTCCAAAGAAATACAAAATATGAAAATGTAAAAAAAAACTGTAGAAAATATTAAATCAACAAAACTGCAAAATGTCTTTTAATTTGCAAAAATAAGTGTCATAAGATGCCACCAGCACCAATATTAAAGACAAAATCAGTGTCACGAACCGACTATCTCTGGCTGGCAGTGGGAGGGTGACAGTTGCAGTGAGTGGAGGATGATGGATCCACACTCTGACAAATCCCAGGCTGGAATTCCTCAGGCACTGGGGAAGATAAAATGCTGTGACAGCAGGCAGCTTAACTGAGCGATCCCACATAGTGACA